GACAGAAATATGCTCAGGTTGACTAGTTGCGTCCTCGGTATACCTGTAATCTCCGACCTCAGTCAAAACCAATCGTGGGAGAATTCGCGCTCCTTGTGCTCAATGAAATAACAAAATCGGACCTGTAATTGTTGAAATGTGACGTCAAAATATCGCCTGTACCTAGTCTGCGCACCCAACGTTCATATGTAGTTTTTGAGTCTTCCTACAAATGGCCAAGTGTCCTCCTGTCTGTTCAATGAGGTGGCGCTATTCAGTAGTATTTTGTTTGCAGAACACATTGACACTTACCACAATTCGGTGCCATGGCAATCAGCAATTTGCGCTTTGTTCACCCCTACTGTCGACAATCAGGCCATTCCCTCAGCTTCCCCAATGAGGATCGCAGAATCATCCTAACACATCTGCACTGATCCCCTTTAATTATATTTAATGTATTATTTCAAATATACCCATTTCAGAAATCAGTCAAATCATTTTCCGCGGAGGTGACTTTAAATGGTGCATGGCGTAATCGTAATATCTGTTATTTCCACTTTATCCCGATTACGTCGTCTTCACCAGCGTCATTGAAAATCACCCAGTCTGAACATCCACCATTGACATCCCCCTTCGAAACAGACTGCCTTCCCTTCAGGAGTTCAATTAACGCCTTCTTTTTGTACTTCAGAGTCAGAAGGATCGATTAATAAATAGTTATCGATTTATTAAGTGTGCTTACTTAGTCATGGAAAGCAGTCGTTGATCGAGGAGCTTAAGAAGTATGGTTCAAATGACTCTTGCCGCGATCTGGAGTCATCACTTATCGCGTCAGCCTGGCGAAGTAAGCCCACTCACATGAGCTGGCATGGAGGCCAAAAATGGACATAAACCCTCATATGGCATTACAGAGCGAGGGTCGCGTTGAGTGTGCAGGTGATTGTTGAATCGTCTCTACTGCTTTGACCGGATGGCATTGGTCACTTTTTAATAATTGAAATTCATTAGAGACCTCACTCCTAATTTTTCACAGCTGTTTTCAAAGTAAAATGATACCATCATCAAAGTCTTTAAATCCCAATCTTTAGCTGACCGCTTTGCTTCAAGTTTCAAATGAACAACATGTATTCCTACATATTACTACAATGTAGGGTATACTTAGCACAAGGAAAAATGGAAGCATAGGCTTTTATGACGTTTAGGGGCACTGCATGTTGATTATGTGAAAAAATAAAAACACTTAAAAAATACTTTCTTTGCCAGTGGTCTCCATCAGCAAATCTCGCATAAACATGTCCTAGAATTTCGAACGATGTCCGTCGGGTGGTATTCTTGTATTTTTTTTATTCTTTTGCGTAATTCACTGTTTCCTTTTGCAAAGCACCTAAGAAAATGTCCTAGGATTTTGAACGAAATCTGTTGGGTGGTGCCGTTTACTATTTTATTTACTATTTTGCGTAGCTCACGGTAATCAGGTGGCTGCATAATGTACTATTTGACTTTCCTGACGCAGGAATGCCACCGTTGTATGGCTTGAGTGAAGTCAGCCAAAACATCTCCCACAATTCTCTTTCGGAAGACTCGCGGCTCTTGGGTCTTGCAATATTTGTGTTCCTGTATCGTTTCTCAGCGATTTGTATAAATATATACAGCAAGGCAATTAATGCTTGTTTTTTAATAGGCTAAGACTCATTGGAGAAATAACCTGCTAGTGCGTCATTCATCCTGACCTATGGACGTCTTTGGTCCCTCGTTATCCCTTCTCTGACAGATGGTTTATGTCATAAATAGCTTATGGTCCGATGTGTCAGAAGACTTTGAAGCAGCATTAAGGAATGCGATATTTGTGAATGAACAATCGGGGTGCCGAAATTTCATGAAGAAGCGGACGCGATGTTCAAATGGCAGCAATGAGGCGGTTTTGGGTGCTGAGCATCATAAACTCTTGCCGACGCACAATAACCACATTTGTATGCATTGATAATCGGATTATATCACCTTGAAACGGTTATTTACGTACGTTGTTGCCCTGCACCACGTGGATGCTGAATTGGAAAAAAACCATGGACACGTAAATAAATATATCAGATAATAAAGTGACCAGAATCAACCGAATTAATATTCCTGAGCAGTGAACTTGCACAAAATACGGGTGCTTTGTACATTGAAGAAGATCATACGATGAACGAGTGTCCACTAACAGCGCGAGGACATAACTGAGAGATTGCGGGAAACACTGGTTCTTGATTTGATAACGAGAGGTATATAGGCTTGCTTCTGACCTTGCATGGTGAATTTGACTAAAGGCAGGACTGTTTGTCGATTTAGGTATTTTGTTGGTCAGATCGTCTTCGCTTATACAGCATTGATACTGGCAATAAAGACGTAAATTTTGTGGAAATTAGCATGAATCCGATCAACGCGAGGAAAGATACGACCACTCGGCACATCGGTTGAAACCGCCATTTGCGTCACTGCATCGCATGCAGAAAAATTATTACTGAAATCTCCACAGACAGCACAAGCATTTGATCAACCAGCAACTACGACGAGGAAGGAGAAGGAGAACTAAAAACGGTGGATGTGTAGGGGAGAAAGAAAGACATAGATGGAATAATGTGACTCATATACGATAAATAGGTGGAGTCCTTAGCTCACATCCAAATGGCAATTTATGACATTCAAATTTAGAAGGGTCACCCCATCCACAGCTTATTTCTGTATTTCGGTTCACCTTAAAGCATTTATCTGAAATATTCGCCGACAGTGTGTGTACTAACGCACAAAAATGTTAACCGATATTCCGAAATGCTTTTTGAATCGAAAGTTTGACGTAAGTATGATTGTCCTAGCTAGCAGGATAATCCAATGAAGATTCTGTTGCTGCAAAATGTCATCATTTCAAAGAACGTTTTCTTGGCCAATTCTAATACTACACTCTGTAAGAAAGGAGTACATATGCAGCATGACAATTTCCCAATGATTTTTCATGGACATATAAATTAAAATATAGTTTATGCAAAAAAAATTGAAAAAATTATCCCTTGTTCTACTTATTTGGTGAAATAGTACGTCTACTTTGAATTTTATATTTGAAGGTAGAGTATACTTCGGTTTTGAGAAAGCTTGCAAATCTCCGAAGAAATTTGAATTTGACATGCCGTTGTATTTGCATTCAGGGTTTCCTAACTACAACTGTTATATATTTCGTGTGCGGTAAATTATATCTGTAGAAGGGATACGTGTCTGCTAAACAAGTAGCAGAAGGAATATTTGTGTGCGTTTTTTTCCGGGAAATATGATGGAATTGAAATGAGCATAAGAATCTATGAGAAAACGTATGCTCTATAAGAAGTCATTTCTGACAGAGCCTAATTGTTGTGCCCTGAACTAAGGTCGCTTGAAAGTCGGCATCCTAATCAACTGTAGTGTTATCGGTTCATGCTGCGCAATGATTGATATCCAACCGCTACTTAAGTATTTATGTTGAGTTGGAAACGCATTCGATAATCGCAGTCAACACTTCATGATTGAGCACACCTACTGAAACTCTGGCTCTGCAAATTTATATCAAAAGCTGGCATCGTGACCAAAGAGATAGGCAAACACATGCATAACACATCACGGAAATGTAGTTCTTGCCTGTGGGTCCTTTGATGCTACGGAGACTCAGGTGCGCATTTTAAAAATGCTTCATGGCTGCAAACACGAGTTTAGCCCATCGAAGGTGCAAGTCAACGAATGAGCACCTCAGAACTGGAATACATGATAAATGACATTGCCCGTATGTGACGGGTTTGCATGCACGAAACGGACGCATGCACAGGCCTCCTCGATATCTGAAGGAAGTCCCTTGCCGGTATGTGCGAATGCGGATCCACTCTGGCTTCAAGGCATTTTCTGCGTGTAAATGCCATGAAATTTGTAATGTAGATCGTTAGGGTAAGGAGTTTCAAGAATGCTGGAACCTGCAAATTATAATCCGCTGATGAGGAAGCATTCCGTAGTCCAAAAGATTCCTTTGCAGGTATTTGGGTGACGAGATGTCATTGGGCTAGAATTCGACGTCACGAATAATTAAAACCACAAAATCTCCGACAATTAACGTTAGTCTTTTCGGCAAAAGAAAATACACGATCCGCCCACACAATGTCTGAGCCCATCAGTTAGGCCGCTGCATTATCTGTAATACGTTAAATAATATCGCACAGCATAGAAAGCACATAAGTATTTAAAGGGAATCAGGTGTGGTGTCATTGAACATAAGCATTAATCGGCTGGCAGCAGCTAGAAGGACGACGAAGGAGAGTTAATATCAGATCAGAAAAATTCCCTTGTCATAGCTAACAATGGAGTCACTGACTGGACACAGCCGAGCAAGGGAGCATTCTGGTGTCATTCAACGCCTTCACAGACAATGGCGTGTGAACAATCAATGCAGCTCTCGATGTAGCCGACATTTACGTCGCTGAATCGCCTGCGTGGAGTGCTAATATTTCAAAAGGAAGAGTCAATTTACAACTGCGGTAAATATTTCATGTGTGAGGACACATGCAGTATTTAAACCGCCATATATACCACTATATTGTCTGCAGACTAAACACACGTAGAAGTCTCAAGACTGCACAAGCAATTGATCAATTCTCAGCAACGAGTATTTCGGAGAAGTGCAGCTGAAAACGGGCTGAAGTCTACTTGGAGTCAACACTCAAGTGCAATCCCATAGGTGTATCTCGACTTCCGCCGAAAGAAGCAGGCCTTAAAACTATTACTCGCTCTTGTATATATCCGTAGTTCATAAATTGGGCCATTATTTCAACATAAACCTAACGAGGAACAAGGACCCAATACCCCTGCTAAGGACTGCTGAAGGCGAACATCTCACTGACGACAGGGCGAAAGCTGATCGCCTTTCAGAATTTTTTCGGTCTTTTTTTAGTAGCGAAACAGGATTTAACCCTGCGGCTCCTCAATCCTTCGAATACACCCCAATTATACAGACCATCCAGTTCACTGAGGGTATGATTCTGACGGAGTTGCTGAGGCTAAAAGAATCCAAATCACCAGGTCCCGATGAGATTCCGGCGAAGATTTTGAAGGAACTCGCCGGTGAGTTGTCTAAGCCACTCTCAATGCTTTTCCATACATCCTTCGAGACCGGATATCTGCCACCCGACTGGAAGTCGGCGTGGATTACGCCGCTGTACAAGGGCGGAAGTCGGGTCTCTGCGAACAATTACAGACCGGTCAGCCTCACCTCCATTTGCTGTAAGATTATGGAGAAGATAATAAAGCAGCAACTAATGCAGTTCCTTGAACAAAACCATTTGCTTTCCGATTCTCAGCATGGATTCCGAAAAGGCAGATCCTGTGTGACAAACCTGCTCTACTGTCTGGAACACTGGACTAGGGCTGTTGATAGAAGAGATATGGTGCATGCCATCTATATCGACTTTAAAAAGGCCTTCGATAGTGTGCCTCACCACCGCCTTCTATACAAACTGAGCCGTGCAGGAGTGCGAGGTAAGCTTCTGATGTGGATTCGGAGCTTTTTAATCGGCCGCTCTCAAGCCGTCCACGTCGGTGACCAACAATCTGCCGAGGTTGCCGTTAAGAGTGGTGTTCCCCAAGGCTCTGTTCTTGGCCCTACACTGTTCCTCGTATACGTCAATGACTGCGCAAACGAACTGAATTGCGATGTCGCAATGTTTGCCGATGACATAAAGATCTGGACTACCATACGAAACGAAGTTGACGAGGCGCGACTGCAGACAAGTCTGGACCACCTCGAGCAATGGTCGAAAGACTGGCTTCTACCGTTCAACGTAAACAAGTGTACTTTCCTACGCGTCGGCAGAACCAGTTATCCTAACCACACGGTCTACCGTCTGACTGGCAAACCACTGCAAGAAGTCGACGCCCAGAAGGACTTGGGTGTATGGATCACAACCTCGCTTAAGCCTTCGCTGCAATGCTCAAAGGTGGCCAAGTCGGCGATGTCCATGCTATACCTTGTCAAACGGGCGTTCTCCTCCTTTGATGAAGACTGCTTTGCCAAGGTCTTTCAAACTTTTGTGCGACCGCATCTGGAGTTTGCTATCCAAGCATGGCGACCCTGGACCGCTAAAGACTTGGGCATACTCGAAAAAGTTCAACGGCGAGCAACGAAACTTGTATCTGGGCAGTGGTCACTACCCTACGAAACGCGATTAGCTAATCTTGACCTCTTTCCTTTGAGTTACAGACAGCTACGTGGGGACCTGAAACAAGCTTTCCGCATCGTGCGCAATCAGGGCTGCTGCCTCGCGTTTGGAGACTTCTTCGAGTTGGCGACTACGACTAACCTGAGAGGCCATCCACTCAAACTGCGTGTGGCTGGCGCCCGGCTAGACACCCGAAAGTTCTTCTTCTCAAACAGAGTTGTTGCAGCTTGGAATGCCTTGCCTGAGGATGTTGTTATGTCAGGCTCGGTAGATACTTTTAAATGGAGACTAGATCAGCATTGTATCGCGCACCAGAATAACGCCGGACTACGGCCACCCTGACAGCCGACGCGGACAATTTAGTGTTATAACGATGCTACTACCAACATTTAAGTAATATATGTTTATGTTATTTATTAAGCACGGGCCGCGTCGCACACCGCTGTTCGCATTCACCACGTTGCCTGTAGACTAAACAATTTTACTTCTTTTCCCGTGTCTTAAGTGTGCCTCAACTGTCCGCTGTATTTTGACCAACAAAGCAAGTTAATGTGCCTCTAAACTCTGTTAAAGCATGACATTCTGTGTTCATCTGTACAGTTTTTGCTATTCCCCTCGCATTTCTTTTATGTTACTTCCTTTCCATTTCCTCCATATATATCCTCTGCATGTAACCAATAGGGATTTCAAAGGTACACACCTACTTTCCCTGAAATATACTGATACTGATACTGAGGACCAAGCAAATCCTAGTTTATTTTGTGGTGCACTTACAAGCATACTATTTCAGACAGACACGCTGGTAGTATGCGGCATTCCACATTAAACGTGGTGGTTTCGTAAGTATGTAATTTGTCTAGCGGATTCGGAAATGGAACTGAGCTTTAGCAGCAACAAAACCCGTAGTCGAGACACGTTAGGGGCCGCGAAAACCCGGGGAACCTGTCGTACAAGCGTGGTGAGCAGCGTCGAGCGGTGGAATTGAGACGACGAATTGGCGACGTATGAGGCCAAGCTATATGGCATTAAGCTGCCGAAATGGACTATCTGGGCAGAGTCTAGGACGGCATGTTATCGGAAGACGTTAGACGATGGGATGGCACTGACGATGAGCGTGGTGGTCTGGGACCTCTACGGTACCTCTAACCTGTTGATCTCCGCTCGGTCGCGTCTCATGTCTTTAAAACATGATTAATAATGCCGGCACCAGACGTAATGCACACATAGACGAGCCCTTTAATTCTGTCAACAACTGCGTCCTGGTGCCCCTTTGGTCGGGTCCGATGGACGAGTGAGGAGAGATGAGAGCAGGTGCTTCGCAATTCTGATATAACGGACTTATCCTCAATCTCTACCGCACACGGTAAATATCGTCCAACGGAGCACCGGAGTCTTTGTAGCATAAAGTGGTCCACAGGCAAGGACCACATTTCGGTGCTGTGTTTTGGATGTGTTTGCCTTCCTCTTTGGTCTCGATGCCAGCTTGTGTTAGTAACTTTGCAGATCCAGATTTCCAGTAGGTGTGCTTACTCAGGAAGTTTTGACTGAGATTTTGGGATTGCGTTTTATACTCAAATAAATACTGCAGTAGGATTGTGATATCGATCACCGCGCAACATTTTCCAATAAGAATTCGTTTCACATATCGTGTCTTCGAGAGAAGAATATAATGCGGTTACAAAAATAGTTTCTAAATATGATATATTTAAAACCGTGAAACGTTCGTTCATGATACGTGGTGTCTTTTTATTCACTAATGTAGCTTTTAAAGTTTCTAACCTGGCTCAAATCCACTGATGAATTTTATGAACACTTATGCCTTCTGCTCCTGATAACGTATAGAAATATAGTTGTACGCATACGACATGTATAAAAGTTGTATTCTGCAAACCCTGAATGCAATCGTAACGGCAAATCGAGTTCACATTTCTCCGAGGATTGATGAGGTTTCTCAAAACCGAATGACACCCTCAATTGAAGTATACATTTTTAAGTAGACGTACTATTATAAATTATTTCTAACCCAATACGTAAAAGAATAAACATTATTTGCATGTTATTCAAAAATAAATTTGCATTTAAAATTACATTGAAAATCAATGAGAGAATGTCATATTACATGCGTAGTCCTTTTCTAAAGAGTGCAACATTTGCAGGTGGACAAGAAAAAATTCTTTGAAATGTTGGCAATTTATATTGGACTATTCTGCACGGCGGTTAATATTACAGACTCGCTTATGTCACCATTTGCAGTCGAAAAGACATTTCAGAATATCGGTTAACATTTCATGAGCTAGCACAACTACTGCAGGGGATTATTCCGAATGCGAGTTCTTCCGAGAACCGAACTACAGAGATAAGCAGCGGATGAAGAAAACCGTCTAAATCATCTTGGTGTGGGCTGAGTTCAGCACCTACTAATCGCAAATGAGTAATTTTATTGTCACTATATACTTCTTTCTCCTACTCTCATCCATCGTTGTTAGCTCTCCTCCTCTTTGCTCGTCGTTGCTGTTGGCTGATCAATGACTTTCGCTGTCTATGGAAATTCTGGCAAGGTTTTCTCTGCAGGCGATATAGCGACGTAGGCGGCTGTTCCAAGCGATGTGCCGACGGGTCGTATGTTTCCTCGAGGTGATCAGACTCATACTCATTACCATAAATACTGCGTCTTCATTGCCAGTATGATGTTGTAAAACTGAATAAGACCTGATCTGTAAAATGCCTGAACTTGCAGGCGGTTCACCATTTCGGCAAATTCATCAACAATTATCAGATGCAAGTTTACAGTAGCTGGGCTAACTCATGAAATGTCACCCGAAACTCCCAAATACCATTTCCTTTTGAAAAAATTAAGTTGGCCGGGTTGTAAAATAAATCATCATACAGCATAATTCTGTACTAATTCAGTTACCCCAGGACGGCAGCTTTCGAAAAAAAACTTCCTTTCAGCTGCATTTCAAAACCATACTCCAAGAAAAATGGACATATATAAAGCACATTAATAGCAAACTTTCTGCATTTTGAATGTCCTTAAAGATTCAATTATTTTCATGGAATACATGCCCATTTTTAACAAAACGCGTCCATTTCAGGTACTCATGAGGCCGCCATTTTCGGAGAAAGGATTTGCCGTCAAGAAAGAGGCTGAAATGTGTGAAACGCACATTTGCCCCACTAAAAACAATAACGTGCAAGTTTCAAATGTTGGTTGTTATATCTTTAGGTGGAACAATCAAAGAACGGCCTTCAAAATTAATGGCACTATTCTTCTACTAGTCGAAGCATCGCCGCCTAATTTAATACGTCACCCACCAGACCCATTCAATATCTGAGATTTCAGGTGTGTAGATATTGTTGCCGAGCTACAAATCAGTGCATAAACAGTTCGTGGATATTGATTGTGTGTGGTAGACTATGAAGGATACAGGTCGATTATTTTTTCCATCAATATGCGAGCTGTTCAGCTTCTGTCGCCTTCCCTCCTGGACTCGCTGGTGCTATGAATGCAGTAGGACTGGAGGAAGGTGGGGGGTCGCTAGTGTGTAGCGGTTGCCAGAATTAAAGAGCCCGTCTCGTGTGTCACACACCAGGTACGCCTGCGCACACTACGAATCATGTTCCCATAGACATCAGGGGCGACTGCGCGGATATCAACGGAGACGAGGTAGCTTAAGTGAGAGCCATTGCAACCTGACTGTCTGCCTGCGCTGGGTGGAACACTGTACCTGTCATCTGACATCATTCGAAGCCGTCGTCGTGATATTTTTGAACTTGCCAGAATTTTTCTCATGTGATATGCGCTGGGAGGGCAGTGAGCGTGCATTCTTGCACACATTCTCCTCCCTCTCACGGTTGGTCGAGTTCAAAATTCTACAAGGACTGGTGACGTTTCTCAAAACCGAATTATATCCTCAATTGAAGTATAAATTTCAAATTAGGCCATATATTGCAATAGTAGTCAACTATCGCCCTGATTGTGAGCCCTCCGCAGGTACCTTTTTAATTCACGAAGGCAAAATCTGTACAAAATGACTATTTACGTAGTCTGCCCTTTTTTGTGGTTGGTTTTCGATGCCCTTTCATAATATACTATATTTCCCGAAAACGTACATCAAAATAGTCATTTGTTTTTTCATTCGTAGCAAATTACATCTGTTATACTCGAAGGAAGAGTTTAATTCGGTTTTAACAACTTGTCTACTTCACGAATAATTTTGATATCGACCTGCCCTAAACTTGCATTTAGGGTTTCCGAACTACAAGCCGAATGTTTTCCCTGAACAGAGATCTATATATATCTCCACTATATTATTACGAGATCAAATGCGTTTCACAATATTAAGCAGTATATAAGCCATATTGTTAACATTACAAGCCAAATTGGTAAAGGCAGACACATGACGTTTTATAAACGGCATTAAAAAATCTCATAATTAGATACTTATATATAAAAAAGTATACGCCTGCTTCGAGTACACAAATGAAAGTCGACATATTTTTTTTCTAAATGAGCAAAATAATGAATAGATTTATACATGCTTTCATGAGATATACTTGAATCATTAAGGGCGTCGAAAAGCGATGACAAAATCATGCTTATGGGGTATGGTCCTTGCTCGCAAACGAAAACAATTTCTATAAATGCCGGCGTCCTGAGTAACTTTATTATTATAGAATTATGCCGCACGATGATTCGTTTTACAATACCGTTTCATTTTGTCTTTTCGAAACGGAAACGCATTTGGGACTTTCGGTTGACATTTCATGAGCTAGACCACCTACTGTACTCTCTACTATGGGGGCTGCCGGGATATGCACGTCAATTATCTGGCATGGCTAACTGATTTTCAGTAGTTCTAAATGGGGCCTGTCACGGTGAGTTAGAGTGTATTTCAACACGGCAAATCTGATCCGCGAGATACAGTCATGACCGGACATTCAGATTGACTCTTTGTCATTGCTGTCCGGCCATCAATTGAATTTCGGACCTCGGACGAAAACTCAGTCAGTCGATTTATCTATCGGACACTGGCGTAATGTGTTTTGCTCAGTCACCTCCAGGGGTATATCAACGGTCAATGATTCGTCCGGACCTCCAATGAGTGTCGGTCGTTATTTTGTCCATTCTGTCTCTTACCATGGGCTCCTACACGATGTTCAAAGCCCAGAACAATAAACAAGCTGGCTCGGCTAGACTTCCTTTGTGATTATGCACTGCTCTTTATCAACTTAATGCACATATGCTCATCTCAAGCCTTCTCATGACTGTTAGTTGTAGGATAAATATTGGCAGCAGCATTTGTCCCATACTTAGCCTGCGCATGCACTGTCCACATACTCTCACGAAACAGACCTCCTTCTTTATCAAAACTGCAATTTTCGCTGAAAAACCTAAGGTACAGCATACAAATTCCTTATTAATTCAGAAACAAGCGCATCCTTTGAGATAAAACATTCGGACCATCGATTGTGCTTATGTAATCATTAAGGCACTCCAGGTTGAGTCAGTTTTAGACTGGTTCTTCCATTCGTCACCTATTTCTGCATTCACAAAATCGGCTATTGTAATCGTACACATCTGGAATCACCACTAATGGCGTAAGTTCGGCGTAACCGCCTGCCTCGGCTGCCGTGCCAGGATCGTCGAAATTCTGGCAATTCGACGTCACTTAAACGAGCTGGCATCAGGGCCAAAATAGACAAATCACACGCATTTCATCAAAGGAGACGGTGAGTCGCTGCGAAGGCACATACGGCTGTGGAGGAGTCTCCGCTAGAACGATCCAAGTGTACTGCTGACACAGGTTTCGCAGTTAGAAATCCTAGTGATAATCAACGAATAAATGACTGCTACATCAAATGTGATTCAAAAAGTATTTTTTGCTGCCATGCGCAAGATGTCCCCATATGAGGCAGGTATGGATGCTGGAAAAGTGAGTATGCGTGGCTTCTCTGTATGTCCGCAGTAAGCCGTGGTTTAGTAAGTAACCGCCGAACTGGGCATTTTGTGTGTGAAGCCGAAAGGGTAAGCTGGTTTACGAGGTAACATGATAGGACTGAGTTATCTGGTCCCCCTAAAGTGGGCACGGCAATTGCAACGCCCCGCCCGATTAATAAAGATTGACCTCCGCATAATTCCGGAACGAGTTAAATTATCCCCTTTTCATAATAATGACTCGCACATATAACTAAACCGTTGCTATAATCTTGACTCTTACGCTACTCCATATACTTACATCAACAGTTATCTGGTCCCCCTAAAATGGAAATTGGAATTGAAACACCTCGCCCGATTAATAAAGCTTGCCATCCGCATAATTCCGGAAAGAGCTAACTTATTCCTTTACCCAAAAACGACGCGCACAATAAACTTACCGTTGCTATAATCTTGACTCATAATCTACCCCATAAACTTAAATCTACGGTTAACAGATGCTCCTACTCTAGCCCTAAACTTGATATAGACTCACCCGCCATGCACTTTAAAATTTGTCTCAAACATAATCCTTAACCTAATTTTAACCATAATATTAAACCTAACTCTAATCTAATCTACTCTAAGTCCTTCCCGAACCATCTAAAAACTTGCTGATAACAATTGGCTGTTGGGATTTTTAAAAACCAAACACAATAGCACGACAAATATATATTGCTCGAATGAGAACTCCTTTTACACATTAGGAGGGGTGGATGCTGGGTTAGATTTTGGTGTCAGATATAGGGGGTTATGATTAGAAGAAAGGATTAATGGTTAGGGTGTGGAGGTCAAGGATGTGATTTAGGAGTTAGGTTAAGGGGTTATAGAAAGAAGTTTGGATAAGAGGATAGGGCATTCACAATAGCTTTTCTTTTGCATTCAAATATTTGTTAAATCTGCCGAAATGGTGGACTGTTTTTGATTCAGGTAGTATTTACGCGCACACAGCCAATGGACTTCATTCAAGATGCAGTGCCCGCCCTGTGGGCAATGAAGTTGGGGAACCGCGAATAAACTAGCGTACACTTGTGCACAGCTCCGCAATGGGGGACTCAAAATCAATGTTTGGGATGATCTGTGAGAACCTAGTTCTAAAAGCTGTTTTTGTGTTTTTTTCAATCTTTATCCAGCAGGACTCAATTGAGCTCACAGGCAAAGCGGCGCCGAAAGAAAGACAACATATTGATCGACCTTAAACTTTTCATTCAAAATTTTCAGCAGTTCGGCCCCGGCATTTCGACGGTGAGGGATATAGAACAACTTAACCAGATCAAACAAGGCTCCACCTCAGAAACCATGCTAAATTTATGAGCACAGGAAAACCAGAGAATGTCACTAATATAAGGCCTGGGGGTTTTGTTGCTTCTCAGTCTGTTTTTCATATGGTCCATACTTTGCGACTTATTCTTACAGGATCACCCGCTATACCACCTGCGAGGTCCAGGTATTTAGGCCTCACTTTCAAAAGTCTCCGTGGCTTTACTGATTAATTTTTTGCTGCTCAGTGCACATGTCAACAGTCCTCCGCCGTGAGTGCGACAGTCGACCCAGCAGTAGGTCATTAAACACAACGAGCATAAATCCGCAGCTGCAAGACTCCTTCCTTAATGACGGCCGTTCAATCACGCTAATTGGAAAGTAATGTGTTGTTGAATGAGCTACCGAAGCTCTGCGACATAGATGAACTAACGATTATAGTCGTACATCTAAAAATTACCGACAAATGATATATTTGAATGGGCTGTAATGTAGTGGGCGGTAGTAAGAAAGAAGACTGCCAGGTTGTCATTGGACAAACTGCAAAGACCAGTGATCACTCTGTCGTGTATTTTCCGACTGAGACGTGATTAAGCCAATCGTGAAATCCCAACTGCCGCGATCAGTGAATCCGATGCGGCCGATATATTAGCCAATGCAATCCACGTTATTATCAGACTCTCTAAAATGCTTTACTCGGTGGTGCCTTCAAGCGCAATCTGCTGGTGTTATGGAAATCAACTGCTAGAGATTCCTTTGTGTTAGAATTTCATTCTATGCTGTGCCTTTCCATAGCGCGGATAACGGCCAGCTGACTCCGGATTTCCCTGCTCATTCCGAATCATTACCAAAAGCGGGCAACTACTTACAAATGTCTTGATTATTTCTTAAACCAGTCAATTCATGAATAACAACGCATAATCTGCAATAATATGCTGGTATTCAAAGGGTGATGTCATGTGAATTTGCTGATCTTGTCAGTTGATGGTCAGACGCAGATAAGAACAGGGCACTATGTGATAGGCTTTCTGGCAAAGAATTTCAGTTCTGCTACCAAGGGAAAAGCTCTGCGAGGGATGCGTGAACGGTGGATGTGCATCTTCGGCGGAGGGCGTATTCGAAGTCCCAACTTTGCAGTGATGATACCCACAAAAACGTCTTCAACGGGGAATAATCTCGTGAAGGCTGCAGCGATAGAGAATTTAGAAATCAGATCTGCGCCGATGATATAGCAGGGACCTGCTGCGTATTGGGGATATTTTGGGAAAGGGAATGCCTTCCGCTCTGTCATCCACTTAGAATCATTTGAACGCCTCACCGAGCTTCTGGCCTTAATGTTGCCGAAGATACCTCGGCGGACTCCCGAAAAGAGAAGGTTTGAGAAGAATCGGCACAGTTTTTCAGGTATTCAATCGAATCGCACATCCAAGGTCAACTGTTGGGTGGAGTTGATTTAGACATTGCTTGCGTTCGAATCATGATATCTGCGCAGTTACCTGGTCAGAATGCTCATCATTGTCGGTGAGTGTTTGGTTCAATTTAACAGTTTAAAATCGATCATGGGATGAGGAGTTCTGGTACGCAGTAGCAGGCGTGCTGGTTTGTCCGTCATAAGCTCGAGGTCAACGCATTTGTGTATAACTTTTTCATACTACTGTCTACGTCCCAGTGGCATTTGGGTTGATGTCGATCGAAAATGACATAGTGGGCAGTGATTGTCAACTTCATCTGCACTCAGTTTAGCCATGCTCGCTTTGCGTACATTGCCGCAATCGCACGATTTGTTTACTTTAGTTGCGAAATAACCTCTAAAAAAGCGTACCTGTAAGCATACACTAACAAAAATATCTAAGGCTTGCTAACCTGAGTTGACGGTTTAAGCACAGCACAATCACACATTTTGACTGTGTATATTGTCATGAGCGATTTAACGATATCTGGTCATCCGACATCCTTTGCATTTTCAGAAACCAATCAACAACCCCAACATCTCCATTGTCTACAGCAGCAAATCCCTTTGTGATTCAGGAACCGCCAATTCCCACTGGACAATGATGATCGTGAAGAGCGCCGTCACAAACTACGTCAGGCGCCGTCAGTTGCACGAAGTCATTCGGCGACAGGCTGCCAAACTCGGAGTCAAGGTGGGGGTCCTCTTCAGTCTTGGCCTTCCCACAAACGGTCAAATACCCCCCAAACTCTTCAAAGAAGTCGCGCAATTCAATGACATCCTGCTAACCAGCTACACCGACATCTACCGCAATCTCACCCTCAAGACGGTCTCCAATCTGCGCTTTGTTCCCCACCACTGTCAACAGAACAGTCTTTTCTTTGTCTTCATTGATTATAATTATGGAATCAATCTGAAACAGTTGCGTCAATTCTTCTCAAATGTGTCACTCGTGGAAGTCCGCAGAAGCGTCTTCGGTTTTATTAACTATAACAAACGGGTGATCCGTGATGCTGAACATAAATGGTTCACCTCGACGTCGGACTACCCGTTTCCACATTATCCTAATTACCCCATGGGTTATTGCTATATCATCGGCGCCGATATCATACAAAATTTCTCGATCGCTGCTGCCTTCACGCGCCTCATGACCAATGAGGACGTCTACGTGGGCATGATGTTTATGAAGCTGGGTGACCCTATTCAGCCCCTACCCAATGTGTGCATCCACCGTTCGAACTTTCCTCGAAACCTTTCCCCCTTGGTAGAAGATATGAAATTTCTTGTCAGAGTTTTGTCCTCTTTTTTGGGGAGGTAAAAGCCCTCCGCTCTGTCATTCACTTAGAATCCTTTAAACGCATCACTGGGCTTCCGGCGTTAGTGTGGCCGAAGATACTTCTGCGGACTACCGACAAGGGGAAGTTTGAGAGTAATCGGCGCAGCTGTTTCAGACTGATTCCATGATCGTCATTGAGGAAGACAAACGTGGAGCTGGCGTGTAGACAGTGGCGATGAACAAAGCCCAGATTGGAGATCGTCTTTAGGGTCAGGTTATAGTAGGTGTCCGTGTAGCTGGCGAACAGGATGTCATCGAATTGCGCGATCTCTTCGTGCAGGTCAGGGGGTATTTGGCCGTTGGCAGGAAGCCCAAGACTGAAGAGGACTCCAACCTTGACTTTGGCTTCCACAGCCTCTCGGCTGATGATCTTGCGCAACTGAAGGCGTCGGGCGTAATTGGTGAGGGCACTCTTTACGATGATCATTGTCCAGTAGGAATTGGCGGTCCCTAATGCACAATCTGACTTGCTTCTGTAGACAACGGAGATGTTGGGGTTGTTGATGGGTTTCTGCAAATACAAAAAATGTCGAATGTACAATTGCCCTTAAACCGCACAAAGCCATCTATGATGAATTCTTCGTTAACTCTGCCCAAATTCCAATTAGTGGGCTACTACCATCTACGACTCCAGGTTAGCACAGAAACAGCAAATGGTGTCAGCAGTCCTGAATTACACAAAGCTGTACTCAACATCTGTAAATCGCGTTGTGGAACATACTCTTGCCGTGTGATCCTCTCTCGAGCGCGCCAGCAGTTGCACAGCGGCATTTGCAATAAACAGAATATCATTGCGGTCTGTGGCTCGATGATAGAACTCGCACTCAGTGACAAATTATCCCTGGCTCGAATTTCAGTCACTCAACGCCCGGTGTTTCATTTGGAACTCTAACGACCGCCATTAAGCCAGAAATAGGCAATCTTGCTTCCCCTGCCTTGCTGTTGCCGTCTTACCTATATGGACAGAATGTTATTATCGACAAAGACGAGGGAGACCGGAATGGCCACTTCTGGCTGATCAGTCATCGTCAGTCGGACATGCCCAAATGCGTGGTGTGCGACACCTGTTGATTCTGCGCAATAACCACTGGGCCGCAGGCTCGATTTCCCATCCATCGTTTGTAAATCCGATCATAATTCGTTAAACAGTCCTAAGTAATAGTTTACTTCTGCGACATGTCATGAATATGACAATCTGTTTGACAATGTCACATTTGCAAAAGCACATTAGGATGCCATTGTCTGGGTGATCTGAAATCACGCCTTAATCACGCCTTAATCTAAATATAAACATAATTCAGATGATATTTACTAATAAGTATGAAATGACGTATCTCTTTAAAAGAAGCCACTGAGGTGTCATCAGGCCTGCTGTAGCATTCTACGTGTTTCGATGCCCAATTGATTGCAACTTATCGAAATCAAAAAGTCAAGTTGGCGAACGCACGTTTTCGGTAATTCTTCCTCAGGCCAATACAATTACATGAAACGAATGAAATGTACAAATTCAACAGTGTTTATAGATGCCTCAAGGGCTATTAATTCACTAACACTCATCATCCCCACGCCGTCCGCATGAGAAGGTCGGCGGGTGTTAGTCGTCGGGGCTAGGGGAGGGGGGTAAGAGAGTCTTTGAGTAATGATCTTGGGTTGAGTACACGGAGCACCCATCATCGTGATTAGGGATTTGAGGCGGCATGGCTTCATCACTTGGGGTTGGCGTTGGCGTTGGCCACGGCAGCGAAAGCGCTTGTGTCAGAGTTTTCTGACAGCATAATACCGGATTCACTAACCGTATAGCTACTGCCTCTGCCGTTGCTAGTATCCGTTGGCGTAGGCCTTTAGAGAAGCATGTTGGTGTCCGGTAGACAACCTGAAATGCTTTCTTGGCATCGACTCGGTGGTTCGTATCGATTAAATGCGCGAGAATAGAACTCGAAATCGACCGGGTTTCACCTCTGTCTAGCCAGGCGGGCATATGTTCACGTACTCTCTTTACCAGGCGTCTCGTTGTGCGGCCGATGTATCCTGCTCCACAGGAGCAAGTGAATGAATAAATGCACAATGATGTGGCCTCCAACGGTAGTCTGTCTTTACCTCCCAAACGTAGGAGGGGAGAGTTTGTGAAGCATACGCGTAAATTCGCCGCAGGGAATGCCCTCGTGATAGCTGTAGTTATGCGCCGTCGGACTAGTTCGCTCTCTGCGTCTCCTCTAAAAGGCAATCTTATGAATACATCCTTCTTTTCCGCAGTCTCAACAGTGGCCTTTTAAACGCGTTCCCCAATATTTCGGAGGATGAATCTATCCGGGTATCCGTTCTCCCGAAGTGTGTTCCGCAGCTGTTGAAGTTCTTCTTCAATAGCTTCAGGTGAGCAGATGCGTCTCACTCTAGTCGCCAATCCCTGGACTAAATTCCGTTTGATGTTAAGGGGGACAAAACTGTGGAAATTAACATATTGTCCCGTCCAGGTTTTCTTTCGGAACACCCTGCGCTGAATAGACCCATCCTCTTGCCTGTGCAGAAGGACATCGAGAAAGGCAAGTTTGTTATCTGCCTCGGTCTCTGCAGTGAACTTTAGCGAGGGGTGCGCACTGTTGAACTTTTGGACAAGCTCCTCGGTATCGGTGGTACCATCTGTCAGGCAGAAGATATCGTCCACGTACCGACGGTAGAAGACGAGGCCATTAATGGTCTCTTGCAAGCTTGTTTTCTCGACTTTGCCCATAAAAACATTTGCAAGGAACGGTCCAAGGGGTGATCCCATTGCCACACCATCTACCTGCCTGTATAATTGACCATTGCACAGAAATTGGACATTTTGTGTGCAAAGCGTCAGTAGTTCTTTTAGCGTTTTCACAGGCATGTCTATGGCGTAGTTCGTATCACGAATAACATCACAAAGATAGTTTATTGTTTCTGCCACGGGTACGTTGGTAAACAGCGATGATACATCCAGTGATAACATCCTCCGTCCGCCAACGTTCATATTTTTGATAGCCTCGACGAACTCAAAGGAGTCTTTTAAACTTCGAGGGTATAGGTAACTTTGCAATGGCTTTAGTTTTTCCACTAGCCATTTTGCAACGGTATGATAGGGCGAATTCCTCATATCCAAGATTGGACGTAGAGGAAGCCCTTGTTTGTGAATTTTAGGAAGGCCGTACATTCTTGGTATTGTCGAGGCCACCGGTCTCAGTCGTTCATACTCTTTGCTAGACAAATGGCCTTCTTTGCAGAGATCTTTGAGAATAGTCGTCAGCTGACCCTCGACAGCCTCCGTGCGATCCTTATCTTTCTCAGATTTTGAGAACTTGGAACGATCCGACAGTATTTCCTCTAGTTTCGCCACATAATCTGTCCTATCCATCAGTACTACTCCTGAACCTTTATCCGGTCTAGTAAGCACAATGTTTTTGTTTTTACGAAGCTCCCTAAGACTATCGATATGGGCCCTTGTCAAGGGACCCTTGTTGCTCGGGGACTTCCTTAGATACTGTTGGCAGCAGTTAACCAGAGTCGACTTAAGACAATCAACTTCTCTAGCTTCGGTGGGTTTTAGATCTGCAGTCTGACTAAAGAGACTCTCAAATTGAATTTCTAGCTCTAACTGTTTCGGCATCCGCCGTGCAATACAAAACTTAGGGCCAAGAGCTAGTACCTCTACGAGATCTTTATCAAGTCGTACTGAAGAATAGTTATGCACGTACCGTTCCGGATTGTTGGGAAGGACGGTCTGAGGTTTTACTGACTGGACGCTTCGTAGGAGCTTAGTCCACCTGGCCTCCATTCTTTTAATTCTGACTGTATCCACATAGTCTTTAAATGCCAATCTCTCGTGGTTTTCAAGGCAGTCAAGAGCCCCTGATCTCTGACACAAGTTCCGCTGGAGTTCTTTAATTCCGGCATTAACTGTCTCAAGGTGGCTTTCTGCGTGTCGTTTTAGTGCAGTTGAAGTTGCGGCGATATGGCTTCTCCGTAAGGTTTTCCAGTCGTATTTGGGATATTCACCCCGTTCAATACATCCTGATAAGAATTTCCTCGTCACGTGTGCCTCCTCAAGTCTGGTGTTAAACTTTAGGAATTCATTGAGTTCCTTTAACATCGAGGGATCTTTGGATTGTCTAAGTTCCGCAAATATTCCCATGTTAAAATTGAAAAGTCAAGTTGGCGAACGCACGTTTTCGGTAATTCTTCCTCAGGCCAATACAATTACATGAAACGAATGAAAATGTACAAAATCAACAGTGTTTATAGATGCCTCAAGGGCTATTAAGTCACTAACTCTCATCGAAATCAATCAGGACAGCTCGACTGTCGTTGCAAAACTGTCGTATATGTGGTAAGCGGTGGAATACAAACCATCGCACCTTTTGAACCAAGCTTGCTAGAAGTCTTCGGCAAATCATTTTCTTACTCATGGAATATTTGATGAACTTGTCTCATTTAACGAATGCCCCATAGTCGGGGAGAGATCAGGTTCTTGATATTTTGAAAACACTCACAGTTTATTAGTTCATAGAGATGATTCAGTACGTGTCAGTCTAACAGATAAGTGTCGGGTGGAGTAACCAGCACCTGCATCAAGCTTCTGGAAACATCAAATTGACTTCCCATTAAAGGCGTTAGTGCCACGAGTATTTTTGCCTTCATTGCTGAGTTCTTTTATGGTGTGTAAGTACGGTGTTTGGGCCGATACTGCTCATAAATACATACCATATTCATATATGTTGGTGATTTGTAGCCTTATTTGACACAGTAACGCATTTTCCACAACCTCTCCGCATTGACCAACCACTGTTTTAAGCACAACCGCAATATTTAAGGACCCACATACCGACCATGATCAAATAACCGACCAAATATCTACGCAAGGATCATGACTCGGATTCAAGCATGTCTAAACAAACACAGCAGGAAAGTGGGTGGAATGGGCTTCTCAAGTTTGGTTACGCGATTCCATGAAAGTCCCGAACAACTTTTCATTCAAGCAACTGGACGGCTGAGCTCAGAGAGGGAAAATTGTTCAGAAAGGACTCAAGTCAGAAATAGCCATTCCAGTCTCTGTAGTATTTGTCGGTTTTACCATTATGATACAAGATCTGCCATTCGAATGCACCACTAATCATAAAATGCCAAGAAAGCTCAGTTTTTCCCGAAATATGCAAAATAAAAACAGGTGTCACCTTAAAACTCTATCTTAAATTGTTGCGGAAGTCAAGGGCCAATTGAAAAATATCACAGAAACGAAAACCTAAGTGATTTTAGCAAGGATGGACGTCGGAGGATGTAGAACGTATCCTAAATCAAAAGTGGAAAGATGTTGTGGGATTTAAACTGAATATTGAATTTCAAATGCAGACATGGGTAGATAGGTTTGTAATTTGGAGCGTTCCTCAGAATACGATTAATGTTTTTTAAAAAAATATAATAAGGAATTTAAAAAGAAACACTAGAGCAATCTAATGGTCAGCTACAATTCTAGAAGAGTTTCGTAGAGCACTTACCACATTCAGTGTCAAACCGCAGAAATATGCCGTCAGGACATAATTCTGGTCAACGTCCATTGGATAGATCAAGTAGGCCTCAGGTACACGCAACCTGGCCAATTGCACATCCGACATCGTGGACAAATCGTCGAAAGTAAGACATCGAACTTCGAAATTGTCGTCAGCAGAAGAAGTGAAGAGTTCACTCACAAATCGGCATGACCGCAATTGGGTGTCTTGTGATTTCTGCACGGTGCTGTGATTGTCTGGTGGACAGAGTTGAAGGTTTTCGACTGGGCAGTTGAGATAGAGGTTTGTTGAGTAGCGCAGACGTTGGTAATTGTGGACGAATCTTTCTGATCCCTCGACAAAATCTGCCAGTTATTGCAAAACACGTAAACCTATGAGACCAGCCCGACCGCTGCCAGCAATTTCAATCGATTTCCATTTGAATGGCAGAACACAGCTACCAGTTATTCTCCCTTTCACCTCCGGAGTTGGGACAGGGACCGAATGGAAACACAGCTTGGATTTCCTCAGAAGCGTAATCTGTAGACCACAAAGAGACTTCTGCTCTACTGACTGAAATATGCTCTGTTTGAGTAGTTGCGACAGGAATTGGCGGTGTGTGCTTGATTTGAAAAACGAGGGACAAGACTTGATTCTCGCAGCTTCATTGGGTGTGCTCGCAGTCCACGTACGTTTTAAAGGCGTCAGCGTGCGAAGACGCTACGGAGTGACGAATGGCACTCGAACCACCTCGTCCTGGCGTGCAACTTCAACACGATCAAAGGATGTGAGATCTAAAGAGCTATAGAATAACGCCACCGAATGCATCTGTTGTGGCATCTGCTCCTGTCTGTATGCTGGCAGTGCAGTTTTAGATATTCGGAATTGCGTTGACGAAGGAAAGCATGTTGCCTGCTGACATAGCGACTCTAGTTTCGTCTTTGTTGCGTCAAATTGAAGGTGGCAGCCGCTTCATTTGCAAGGTTGTTAGGCTGAACGTCATGGCTAACGGAGAATGGGATCGAGCATTTGAATTTTCATGAGTGTTTTGGCACCAATGGGTATACAGAGGTAATGAACATCGACAAGATGATTCGTTTTATGCAGGCTTATGAGCGAGGCAGTGTTTTGCACATTGTGTCAGAGAACTGCCTTCATTCTGTTACTCCTTCGCGGAGAGCGTCGAGCATTACAGACGCTAGCAGGATTATCTGTGGCCTCCATGGTTTGTCGATGGACGCACGTTCAGTATCGGGGACTTGCTTGAAGTGTTGGTGGTGTCGGACATACCACCCCACGCGGAGTCATTCGACTGGAGATTGGTGTCGTGTATTCATTGAAGAGGTTGGTTCAGCCTCGAGTAAATTACATCCTGACGTCGATATGCAATCCGTTGACTGTCTCCTGCAAGGCCACGCTGATGACCAAACAGAAGGCACGGCCAATTCCGTAATTTATGGCAGATTTTGAGCCACTTTCTGAGTAGTTGGTCTTTCTCTGGGTTAATATGCCTGCATGTGGAATGAAGGGTTGTTAAGGTTTCTCACAAAGTCGCGCCATCAAATTTGAGAAACCCCTTACATTCGCAATCATGCTGTGAGAAGCTGAAACATCAGGCGATTGCTTCTTCTTCTTCTTCTTCGGATAACGGGTGTTTTCTACATTGAAGAAGATCGTGCAATGAGTGTATCAACTAACTGCGTGAGGAGTGGACTCAGATAATGTGGGAGTCCGAGTTGTTACTTTCCGTGATTTTGTGATCCGTGCTGGATGCTGGTGTGACCATTGCTCGACATATTAGCTCAATGTCACTGTTATAATTGCTCACCGCGCACTCCCCACGTGACGGATTCCTCTGTCCAGGGAAAATCTCAGCACTAAATATGGTACCGGGAGGTCATAGTGCCTGTTGATAAATTGCGGTCCTGAGAGCAATGATCCTAACGGTTATGTATTATCGTTATTTAGCTCATCTGCTGCGGAAACTACCCATGTGTATGTAAGCTAGTAATGATGTTTGAGGTAGTTGGAATTGCCGTGACGAACAAAAGCCAGCTGACGATTGACAAAGCGCCTTTTATCTCGTCCTGGCTACCAAAAAGCAGGTTCGAAAATCTGAACATTCGTTATTTCTTCTGGAACCGATAAGTAGACACAGACAATGAGCATGGACAAAAAGGATGTTTAATTTCACCTGTCCTACAGAATGAGACAGCTTTTTTTCATTTTACTAGAGGACTCCCTGGTTCTTTTGCTCAAACGGTGACAGTGTCATTTGTTACGCATGTTGGGAAAATTTCCCATAAGCCCTACGAATCGTAGACGGACACCCGTTCAGTATCGAGGACGTTTTTGCAGTGACGGTGTCGATCCTCCCTTCGCCTTCCCACACACAGTGAGTTCACCTTATCCCTGAAGATGGTGTGGGCTTCGAGTTGGAGGAGTTGGTACAGTTCTGGGAGGATTATATTTTGACGTCCATATGCGGTCTATTGACTGTATTCTGGCAGGCTCTTAAGAAGAATGAATGACTAATGCTGTATCGTAAGACAGATCTTGATGTAGTCTATCTTAAAACCTGCTCCTTTTCTCGGTCATCAGATCAGTTTTCTCGATGGCAGCATTGTTATGTTTTTTTTACGACGTTGCACCATCAAGTTGAAAATGCCAATTTCCTCAGCCGTCTTGTAGTGATTAGGCAGTCGCCCTCGCATTTGAATCACCGTCTTAAGATAGTTGCTTAACCAAACATTAAACAGTGACGATACGTCGAGGACAGGAATTCAACGCTACTGCTTCCTCCTGTAGCGACTGGGTCATTTTGTGAATTGGAGGAGAGTGTGTTGGTTTGTCTGCTGTATGGTATGTGGCACAACCCCGGCAATGTGCGCGCGAATATCCTTGCTGTAGAAAAAGTAGTGCGGCATCTGCCCTCTTTCCAATTTGCTTAGCGTGTAGGTTCTTAACTGAAGAATGTTGTGGACGGACTTGTTATGCACGCGTTAATCTAAGCACATACACGATGATTACTCACTTCACGCAACCCTGTCTGTTGTACTGAAAACAGCTATGATGACATGAAGGTCATACTGCGCCTGTGTGTACCGTAAATGAAATGGAGAACAGTAGTTAAATTGATGTGAAACCTCCCATTTAACAAACGCCACACGAAAATCACCCACACATCAGATACGCGTCAAATTGATTTGGAATGCTTAAGCTATTTACTTCCTGAACCAGTCAGTCAGACGTCTGAGCAGTTTTGTGCTATACAGACAGATAAGGCAAGCCTGATTGGTCGGGGCTAATCGGTTGATTGTCCGTCCATGCTGCGATGGGTTTATGGATGTCCGACCAGACCAATGACGTTCTCGCTGACCAATTCGGTTAGGTATGCCGCACCCAGGTAAATTGTTTAATTCACACGAAACCCATCTTCAGTACTGAATTTTCCCAGGCAACATATTTTGCAATAGTAGCCAACTATGGCCCTGATTATGAGCCGTCCGCAGGTACCCCTTTCATTCAAGAAGGCAGAATCTGTACAAAATGACTACTTACGTAGCCTGCACTTTTTCTAGTTCATTTTCGATTCCCTTAGATAATGTACTATATCTTCCAGAAAACATACATCAAAATATTCATTTGTTTTCTTATGCGGTAGCAAATTACATCCTCTTTCAATGTTATACTCGAAGGAAGAGTCTAATTCGGTTTTAAGAACTTGTCCACTTCCCGAATAATTTTGAACTCGACCTGCCGTTAAACTTGCATTACGGGTTTCCGAACTGCAAGCCGTATATTTTCCGCAAACGGAGATCTATATTTATCTCCACTGTATTATTAGGAGATCATATGCGTTTCATAATATTAAGCAGTATATAAGCCATATTGTTAACTTAATAAGCCACATTGGTAAAATAAGAGACATGGCGTTTTATAAACGGTCATTTCACGGCATAAAATAATCTCATTCTTAGATACTTTTATATAACAAAATTATACGCCTGCTTCGAATATACAATTGAAAAGCGACGTTCTTTTCTTCTAAATGAGCAAAATAATGAGTAGATTTATACATGCTTTCATGAGATATACGTGAATCATTAAGGACATCGAAAAGCGATGAAAAAATCATGCTAGTTAAGTATTCATTTTTTATGGAGTATGGTTCTTGCTCGCAGACGAAAAAAAATATTCAAATGCCGGCGTCATGCGTAACTTAATTATCATAGAATTATGCCGCAGGATGATGGGTTTTACGACCCTGTTTAATTAATCTTTTCGTAACGTAAACGCATTTCGGACTTTCGGCTGTCATTTCATGACATATCACACCTACTGTACTCCCTACTTTGGGGGCTGTTGGGATACACATGTCAGTTATTTGGCATGAATTACCGATTTCAGTCGTTCTAATTGAGGCCTGTCACGTTGAGTTAGAGTGTATTTCAACACGGCAAACCTGAGCCGCGGAGTACAGTCATGACAGGACAGCTAGATTGACTAGTTGTCATTGCTGTCCGACCAATCAACGACGAATAACGCAAGACTAAATGCGGATGTCCAGGGCTCTGTACGCTGACGCTAGATTGATAGATCGATTTCTGAGGTCTCATGCGAGATGGATCATAAGTTTAACTTCGCATCTACCATGATAATAGCTCATGTCGAAAATAAAACAGGCTGAGCATCAATTGAATTCTGGACCTCGGATGAAAACTCAGTCATCCGATTTATCGATCTGGCGCTGGCGTAATATGCCTTGCCTAGTCACCTCCAGTAGTGCATAAACGATCAATGATTCGTCCGGACCTCCAGTGAGTGTCGCTCGTTATGTTGTCCATTCTGTCTCTTACAATGTGCTCCTACACGATGTTCAAAGCCCAGAACATTAAACAAGCTGGCTCGGCTAGTCTTCCTCTGTGCTTATGCACTGTTCTATATCAACTTTCTGCACATCTGCTCATCTCAAGCCTTCTCATGACTGTCAGTTTTAGAATGAATATTGGCGTTAGCATTTGTCCCATACTTAGCCTGCTCATGCGGTGTCCACACTCTCCCTCGAAACAGAATTCCTTTGCTTGAAAAACTGCAATATCGCTGAAAAACCTAAGGTACAGCAT